TATTTCATATTAAAATATGTCAGATTAAGATATAAAATAACTCGAAAAATACTTAACGAAAAAATACTTTATTATAGTGTTTTAAAAAGCTCTCGAGATAAGCTACATGAATATGCAATAAAAAATGCGGCTTTCCATTTTAAAAAATTGACTTGGGCTCTACTGGACCCAACACAGACCCCCGATCCAAAATCTAATAAGATCGTCTATTGGCCCTCTTTAAATCCTACAACTTTTATCTGAACATATTTTTAATTCGACCTTACCCTGCGGAAATAAAAGAGGTGATAGATTAAAATGAGACACCCTGTATACATTTTGAAACCGCGCGAAGAGCTTAATGCCATTCCTAGCTACATTCTGTCCTCCTTCGAGACCCATTCTTTTATTCAATATTCCGGGACAATTTATATCCTCCGATCTAGTCTTCGCGATGACGGCAGCCACTTTTTATGTGCACCGGGTAGAGCGGATACGATTGGCCATAATTTCGCCATCGGCTTCGACGGCCGGTTATTTCATTCTGTCGCGGGCGTCATAAAAGAGGAACAACCACGCGCGGAGAAATACCACACGGAGATCGCCTTCCACGAAGAAAGGACGAAGATGACGTCGGAGGGAAGACCGATCCTTGGCCATTTCTCAAGGGTCCAGAAACACGCAGCTCTCGCGCGTCGCGACAAAAAGTCGCTATTTCCTGGGGGTCTCTTAATGCGCGTTCTCTCTCGACAGGTAGATGAAAAAAAGGAGGGGAAGAGGGGGGCCCAGAATTAATCGAAAGTCTCGCCGGCCCGGAAATCGCTCGCATAAGTGTATCCCGGAGACGATCGCTGTCGACGTTTTGTCATTAGCCGCGAAAAATTGATACGGGTCCGCCGCCGATTTAATTGACGTCAAATTGGAGCGCGGACGGAGGGAAGATTGGATTCGCGAGAGAGCGATTGCGCTCGTGATGGGGAGAGAGAGGGAGAGCGAGAGGGAGAGACGAGAGAAGAATGAAGCCTCGTGAATACCGGGGCTCGATTCCGGCTTCGTCTTTACGACGCCATCAAATTTCACGATGAAAGCATCCTCCGACGGAATATTAAGTACCCTTTGGTTAATAACATTCCTCCTTGTATAGTCGCGTTGATACGCGATGTTTGATTACGGCCATCTTCGTGTAACAAGATGAATTAGGGTGTCGCGTGTAACACCTGCTTCCTCGAATCTTTTATTGATACTTATTGAGCGATTTAAGAGACGTTTGATCTTGATATATTCCGAGAGAGAAACTCTCAATCTTGTCATATATCAATGCGATTATTTATATAAGCAAATCAAGTTTTAGTCGACAAATACGCAATATATTACGATGATTTATGTAACGCCCTCGCTCTCTCCATTGTACGGAGAACGTAAGCGGGCAACGTCCGCTATGACAGCGTAAACACGTTAATAGATGCATTTCAGTTTCCAGAATGAATAATCGAACCTGTTATCGCGATCCACGATAAATCCTCCAACCGACGGTTCTGTTTCGGTTGGAGGATCGCGCGTTATTCGCGGCGAAATATAACGGGAAGCGTGCGGTTTATATTCATTATATAAATGTTCATGAATGTTGGTAGAAATCACGGGAAAATAATTTGTGTTTGAGGCATGAACAACAATAACGCATAGAAAATTTCCAAGATTTTTTCAAATACAGAATAGATTCCGATTAGAATCTATCTGATGAGGGGGGGGGCCCAAAAATTTGTCCCAAATAAGTATATCGTAATATCAAAAATTTTATTTCTATTTTTTTTAAATACAGGTTTTCAATCTAAAATTGAAACAGAAAGGCACATTTTTTTTCAAAACTCGCATTTTTTTTTTTGCAGGTTAGATTATGTAAAATCGTACACTTTTATGGAAACAGATAAAAAATCTCATTATTATATTAAAACATAAAAACATTAATTTCTTTTTTTACTTTTTTGCATTTAAATCTTCGCTACAGATTAGATATAAAACCTGCAAAGCGCGACTATTAATCATAAGATAAAAAATGTTAGTATTTGTTCTTATTATTTGTTTTTATCATTTTAAAATATGATTTTATCTCTGATTTTTTGATTCCATTTGTTTAACCCAGAACGTCAACAAAAATTGAATATCGGTCAATTTCTAATTAAACTGTTATAAATTTCTGTCTCTGAGCAAAGTGTTTTAAATAATCTACTTAATTGTAATTTTTAATTGTAATGTTGAATGGAAATCGGAAAAGAATTTTGTGAAAATATCAGAGAAAGCAAATGGGATTTGCTCGGGTTTCCCGATTAGAATCGCGTCTCTCGAACAATACATTTTTGTGATTCGAATCTTATAGATATTTCCCAAACGGAAATCTATAAAAAAAAAAAAAAAAAATCTATAATAAAATCTTTTCCATGACTCTTTTAGGAAATCTGACTAGATTCCAATTAGATCCCAGAAATTTTTCCGTGCGAGTTTTATGTAAACCGAGTATATTGCAACCATTTTTTGCGACACATTTATTATTATTATACCTATTACACGTTTATGTATGCTTGCCGCGCGTTTTTATTAAAACTTTCTCATTTAATTTTTTCACACACACGCTCGTAAGGATTAACGATTACCCCGTTTCGTGTTGTTACTATCGTCGCGATTACCGCGTTTAATACCTTTCGCGAACAAATTGCTACGGAGTGTCGTAAGAACCGATGCATAAAATAGTAAACCCCTTCCCCCCCCCCACCCCAAGATCTCGTCCCGGATCAGTGCATCCGCGGTCTTTCGGCTCGAGAATCCTCAATTTGCGTGGATTAATCGCGCGCTTGAGCAACAATTAATTCCGCATCGTATGTCCGGCCGTCGAGTGACGTAAACGGATGCAACGCAAGTGTGCAAAAAGGAGCATAACGCCGGATTAACGCGGCTTAATGGAACGCACACATACATCTTCCACATACACTGTCCTAATTGTTTGAATTGGTCGAACTCGATAATCGCCGGCGACAAAACGAAATTTCGCTCCTTGAAATTTCTATCCTGCATACAACAAGAGAAACTTTAATTCGTATTTCCTTTGTGATTATTGCAGTGTGAATATAATATATTCTCGTGAAAAAGAAACGTATATCTTACAAAACATTCTTATTCTTACCAAGAAATTTAATTATCTATCTTTCGTCGTGTTATGTAATGTGATATTTAATTATTATAATTGTATCAAACTTCGCAATGGAGAAAGAGTATAGAACTGTTCGTCGAAAAGAATTGAGATATCTCCGGATAGCAATCTCATTCACACGTAATCGTATTCACACGTCTTGATGAACATGCATTAGCAACGGAGCACGCTGTATGACAAGATGCAACACATGACGTTTCTTCAGAGTCCGTGTATACATGTATCGCGAGATATTTTTAGTTCTGACGCAAGCGTTTCGCTATTACATCCCATCGCGAAATGCAATTTGCATTTTCCATCGAGGCGACGCGTGCGCGCTTCCGTTTTCACACACTCGACGTGGAAATCGACAGAAAAATTGTCGGTTGGAGCAGTCCGGAGGATTTCTCGAACCTCAATCGAGCGCGATTATCCCATCGAGATATTCAATTTGCATTATAAATAGCCAACGCGCGCGGTCGACATTACGTAACGATAATAAACGACTCGCCGCAATAACAATTATCGCCTCGATAATCGCACTCATGACTATGTGATCAAGAATTATTCGCGCGAAAATTGCTGATCGATATATGCATACATTTACCATATTTAACAGAGACAATTTTTTTCATAGATTTCATTTTCCACAGATTTTTATTGTTGTACGTATTTTATAAATTCAGATAGAAAAAAACCTATATATATATTATTTTTATAATTGTGTAGAGGCATATTTAGTTTTCATTTTTTGCCAGAAAAAAGATAGGTATCTATTAAAAATCATTGTTTTTCTTAATCTTTAAAAAATAAAAATATTTAGAAATTTTTTTCTTTTCAAAAAGATAAAAATATTTTCAAAATTTAAAAAAAAATTAGTGTTTAAAAATATATAAAAAATAAAAATACTTAAAAAAGTTCACATTCCTATTCAAAATTAAAAGATATGAGAAACCGACTTATAACTGAAAGAGAATACTCGCTATGTGTCTTCGGAAAACGTAACACGATTTCCTCATCATCTATGAATATAAATGGGGCGACAAATGATTACAGCTGCGAGTATATCATTAGAACTTGAAGGAAGGCGAAAGAATTCGCCCTTGAAGCCTGATTTTTCCTGCTAGATACACTCGGCTGACGATGTTATTACGGTTAATTGTTCGATTCGCTCTTCAACAATATGTGAAACTTATTCTTGAGTATTCTGACGTATATAAGAAACATAAGTGAGAAGAATTACGTATGTCGATCGATCTCAATTTTTTGTAAGACGCAGTTTTCGCGAGATCGTTAGTAATAATGATTCCTCGAACGTAATTATGATGACACCATCGATATATGAAAAAATGATCTCTACGTTTATTCGCGAAAATACAAGATAGAATACAAATTTATCTTCTCATCAATATATCGTTGAAAATTGAATTTAGCGCAATAATATCGGTCTGAAATTTGACCTCAATGTTCGCGGAAGCATTTGTCATTTCAATAATTCGCTGACATTAAAATAAATTATATAAAAATCAGGGTTGGCATGTTTTAAACAATGTGTTTAAAACTGCTTGATTAAAACTTGTTTAAAACAGTGAACACCGTTTTAAACATTTTTGTTTTAAACATTTTTAAACTGCTGTTTAAAACTGTTTAAAATATCGCAATTAAAATATATGATTATTTGAAAAAAAAATTGTAAAAAAAAACAAAAACAAACAAAAACTGATAGATATGTATGTTGCAAAAAAGTTGTTGTTTCAGTTTTTTAGTTTTTTATCAATATTTATGTAACATATAAATATAAAAATATAAATAATGAAATAAAAATGATAAGATGGGTATTATTTTAGCAGAATATTTATTTTTGGATATTAAATAACAATCAATACAATAAAGATTACTTAGTAGATATTGACTGACTTTACATTTTAACATTTTAAATTAATAGCACATAACTCATAGCAGGTCAGTAGTTCTAGTTAATAATATATTTAATATATAATACTTTGGTTCCTTTCCTATTCTTATTAAGTAATCTTATGCTTAACTCTCAACATAAATTATAAATAAAAGAAAAATAAAAGAACTTCAATACTTCTTTTTTATCTAAAAACTACAAACTATAAAAAAATAAACCATAACACATTGCATTTTAGCATCCATTGCAAATAATAAATAAAATAACATCAATCCTTTAACTAAAAAAAAAAGTAAACATTTAGGTACACAAAAATGAATGGTAACAATAACATATTGCAATTGCATTGCAGTCATTGCATATTACGTATATTTTTTTAATACCTACTTTTAAATTTAATAACTTAAAATAAAATTAAGAATATAGTTTTATATATATTAATAAAGAATAGTAGTTTTTTTTACTACTCAACTAAAAAAAACTCTTTTAAAAGATCAGATTATACAGACTCAGTCTCAATCTCATGTTCAGTTTGATCGACTTCACCTTTTTTGTTGAGTGCCTTCAAAATTGTTACTAATTTCGAAGCTTTTTCTACTCCTAATCTGTTTCTCAGTTTTGTGTGCACTAAACCAAAAGCTGAGAACAGCCTTTCTATGCCAGCAGAAGAAGCAATTGCTGTATGGAGTTGTATTACCAAGTCGAACGTTACAGGATTGACATTCATTTTTAGCGCAAGCCACCATGTTATCGGCTTAACATTTTTAATGGATTCCCCCCAAAAAAGATAATTTTTGAACGGAGAAGTTTTTGCTCGATAAGACATTATGTCAGACATGGCTGCAGGGTGATACAAATTGACATATTCCATTGCTTCATCTAATTGTTCTTGGCTTAATTGAAGTCCTCTAAATCGATGATCTAGCAAATTTGCTAAATAATGTGCAGGCGTCATTACCATTTTGAAACGTTGCAGAACACAATTAAGATCAGACTCCAAAAAATTGTTCTGTTGAAGTTTAAAATGGTTTATTAATTCGATCCAAATTTCTGTGGCCTCACCAATTGTACAGCAATCTCGTTGAATTTTGTCTAAAGCGACTGAAATTACTTTTAGTTTTTCCAAATAATCCGTTGCTTTGATTTTTAAATTCATATCGTTAACTTTGGATGAAATATCTGAGCTAATTGCTACCCGATTATCAGTGCAAACTTTAGACAAAATATGCCAGTTACTAATGTATGATTCCAGACAATTGGCCAAAGTATTCCATCGAACATCTTGTGGCATCACTAAAGCTTTTCCACCTGCTTCTTTATACTTAGCAGCGGCAAAATGTATGTTTCGAAAGTATTTCATAATTTTTTTAATGTGTCCTTTGATTCCTGGAATTTCAATGTCGTGCGCAAGAAGATTTAAAATATGTGCGGAGCATCCATAAGTAATAATGTCAGGCATGCCAAGTTCTTCACACATTGCCAATTGTTCTCTCATTTTACGCATGTTTGCTGCATTATCAGTCACAAAGCTTCTAACTCTGCAACCATGTTTTTGACAACTTTTGATTGAAGTTACTGCCAAATTTAGCAAGTACTCCGCGGTATGGCTATTACCTTCGGTATCAATAGTATCGCATAAATGCACAGTTTCGTCAATGATATCTGTCACTGATATACACACTATAGAATCATTGTGAATGTTACTCCATCCATCCTGAGCCATACATACATTCTTCCCATTTAAACAGTCTTTTATTTTTAGTAATTCTGAGTCAAATACTTCATTTAATAGTTCATTTGCGATTTGACGTCTTAAAGGCGGTTTATAGCCAGGATGCAACAAGTTTATTAATTTTATAAACTCTGGGTGTTCCACGTGTTTGAAGGCCGAGTTTGTGGCGTAAATAAATTTAGCTATCTGTATGTCAAATTTTTTCTTGTTTGCAATTGATGTTCTAACAATAAATGGTTCCATATCCATTGACCTCAATTTGGACTGTGTTAACATGGATATTGTAGATCTTGATGTTGATGGTAAAGTATGTGTGACTGTATCTGTCGCTGTTGCTGTAAAGAAAATATTCAAAACTGTCAGTCAAAAGAAAAGTCAAAAGTTACGCGAAAATTACTGTATAGGTAATCAATGTTCAATGCTTTAATGATACCAAATAGGAAATAGAATATGTTATGTATACTATATTGTGTATGTACTATGTACTAACTTATGCAAGACGGGGATCGAGAACGGATGCTGCTGCTATCAGAAGCGCTATCTTCATTAACATTAACTAATGTGGAGTTACACTTCTTCACATGTGTCTTCATTCTAGTGACCAATCCTACCATAATTATATCGCATTTTTTACATCTTGCTTTGACAGATCTGTTTTCTTTAATTTCAATGAAATTACACCATATTGGATCTTTCTTTCTTCCCGTCATTTTGTATTTGTTAAGAACTGAAAGAATGTGATCGAGAATGTAAGTAAAATATTGAAAATAATCAAATAGTACTTTAAATTATAGTACAAATGAAAACCTAACCTAACAATAACAACACTGCATTTGCATTATCGCCACTTACACTTACCTATTTCGTGTTGAGTTGCAGCATGTAGTATGTACTCTATGTAGACTGGTAACTAATAAATTTAAGACCAAACAGTAAAAACGATACGGTAGACTCCAAATTGAAACTCCGAATCAACCAAAAAACATGTGTGCATTTGCCCACATTTTGCACGTTCACGCCTGCATTTGTTTCGAAGCGGTTAAAGCTGGCCACACACACTTTCCGTAATCGTAAAGCCTATCGCACAATGCTATAGCAATAGCGATAAGCTTAACCGTAATCGTAACGTAAGGATTCGACCAATCGCGTTGCTTGATTCAGCAATCTATCATATACGCCGAATTAAGCGACGCGATTGGTCGAATTCTTACGTTACGATTACGGTTACGATTACGGAAAGTGTATGTTTAGGCCATAAATAGCGTTGTCAATTTTGGCAATGTTATTTACAGTTCAACGCTAGCGAAAAATTTAAATATTTACACAGATCAAAGCTATCAAGTGTTTCTTTGCTCGTTTAAAACATGTTTTTTTGGTTTAAAACATGTTTTTTTTGATCGCGACCTCTTCGTGACTCTGCATCATGAAAGCTGATTCATCTCGAAGGGGAACAATCCGGAATAATTGAAAATAGAACACATAAAATATTTAATAAATCAAATAATTTATGTACCAACTCTATGGAATCTATTATTACATTAAATCTATATTGAAATAGTACTTGTTGGTAACAGCAACCAAGATTGTATAATGATTAATTAATTACGTAATACTTCTTTTTCCTTTCTCTCGAGGCGAAACGTGATTATGCGTTTGCGCCAATTGCAGAGCAATGCTATTGACGCGCATGTTTCGAGCCGCGAGCTTGAAGATAGGCAACGAACAATAATCCGACAAAGAATAATGGATAGCAATGAGGTATTGTCCCGTGTCGCTTTCAACGAGTCCAATTAAAGCGCGTCCTTCCGTCGGCTTAAAGTCAGAGACGCGGTGGAGTTTTTTCACCGGCAACGAGTGGGATGGAGAATTGTGTAACCCTAGGTTTCAATAATAAAAGTCTCGTTACGTTTTGCGTTTACGCTCGCTATAAATTATCACGTTTCCCGTCCGAATGTTTTTTTTTGTCCGATAGCGATTGCGCGTCGCGGAATAATTAAAGCATAACGAATTGACAATGTGGTAAAATTCGTATTGATTTTCCCGCGACCTTTTCTGTTCCCAACAATATATCATATTTACCGATATTATATTAGGTCTACCGGAAAGTTCTGTCCGTTTTTGGAATAAAACAAAATACAAATTTTTATTACCGTCAATAAATTTTATTAAATAATGTAATTGCCATTATTATTAATGATTTCTTGCCAGCGTGAGGGCAATTTGTATATCCCATTTTCGAAAAATGTTTTATCTTTTGATGCGAACCAGTGCTTGTTTGATATCTTGTTCCTTTTTGAATTTTTTGCCCCTCAAAAAATTTTGTAAGGACAAAAACAAGTGATAGTCGGTGGGTGCTAAGTCCGGGGAATATGGTGGATGCGACAGAATTTCCCAGCCTAGTTCTGCACTTTTTTGACGAGTCCCCAAAGCAGCATGTGGCCTGGCATTATCATGATGCAGTATGATGTTCTTCCTATTGTACATCGCCGGCCTCTTTTCTTGGACTGCTGTATTTAAATTATCCAGTTGCTGACAATACTTCTCCGAATAATGGCAATTACATTATTTAATAAAGTTTATTGACGGTAATAAAAATTTGTATTTTGTTTTATTCCAAAAACGGACTGAACTTTCCGGTAGACCTAATAAATAACAAAAACATGTTACTTTAAATTTCTTTGTGTTATATTAGACTGATTCATAGAACAATAATTCGATTGAAAGTTTCAGTCCATAATCCATCTTGCCAAATGTTTTCTATTAAAAATAAACGACAGTTATTTACTAATATCAACAAAGAAAAAGAAGCCTTTTATATCAAATGTTTCAGATATTTTTCCAAGAGATAATCTGAGAAATGTCAACAAAGCTACTTTACTACTTCACAATCAAGATTGTATTTATCTTGATGCTATTTCACAAATACGAAGCCTCTAAGTTTACAACAAACTTAAAGTATAATTTAAAATTTAAAATAACACTCTTATCTCTCTGTTAACATTTTCAGCTTCTCTGTAAGACACGAGAAACGACATATTAACGCAAGGTATTTTGATTTCGATTTAGAGCGAAAGATCAGAATAGATATTACAAAGAAAATAATTTATTAATAACAAGAGGGAAAATTCTCTCTCTTCTCTAAATTCATTCTATATCTAAATTTATTTTACGCTGTTTTTCCGTACTTGAGTAAAAAAATCTACGTCGATAATATATAGTCTTTTTATTAATAGTCAAAAGTTGTTTAAGGCCATCACACACAAAATTCCGTAAGGACGTAAGACCAATCCCAATCGAGTATTTGGCTCTCCGTAACCCCTCCACTTTTACGGAAAGCCCAATACTCGATTGGGATTGGTCTTACGTCCTTACGGAATTTTGTGTGTGATGGCCTTTATATAAACAAAAAAAAAAAAGACGAGATATAGGATATAAGTTTAAAACTTGCCTCGGGGATATATAGGGTGTCCTAAGCCGAGACAGATGTTTTGCCGCGCGCATGTACGTTGCGCGAATTAATCCGATACGTCCGCTCCCGCCGAGTTCCGATTAAAACGAGCGCCAAGAATGAACGGCCGTCACGCTAAAGCATATCTCGCGATGTGCCCTTCGTGCGAGATACGAGATACATTTTTTTTTCTCGGGAGTCCGCACGCCAGATGCACGAGGTGGCGTTGTAAATTTCCCTCAGCACCCGTTTGCGCAATTACACCCGTTAAGTTCTTCTCACATAAATTCCTCTAATCCGGATTTCCTTTGCCTTCGCAGACGTGAGTATTCGCTTGTTAAGAATAAGATTTGCACTTTCCGTCTATACGATTTTATAAGCTATTTAGAGAAATTATTACACAATACAGTTTGCAAAGCTTCAATTAAATAACCGTATATAAAAGATTTTATTTTTTATTCGAGAGGAAAAAATATTATAGTCCCATTTTATTTTTCTTCCCCCAAAAAATTCCTTTATAAAGATTATTTTACAAATTTCGAATTGATTAATAATAGCACTTATCTCGCATATTTCTATATCACTCAAATAAAATACACAATGTTGCTGGCAACCTTTTTATTTATAAACCGGTCCTCTAAAGACATATCATGAGAGGATCATAGTAGAATTTTGGATCGCGCGACATTTACGATGCAAGACGAAATCTCCGTCTCCGGGATGGGAATAGTAATATTCTACGAGACAGATATCGGTCTGACAGCTTGTACGTTATCGCGGTGTAGACAAATCTTCCACGATAACGAGCGGACCGAGAGCGAGGCGTTATACGGCGAAATCCGAAAATGCCCGCCGTAACCATGCTGGTCACGTAGTTATCGGTCGCTATCAGAGAAAAACGGGTTCTTCGAATCGCTCAAGATCCTTCTCATTTTTTTCCCCCACGAGAAAACGACTCCTGCTTCGCGACCGCTCAACGACCCGGGCGTGACCTCGTCTAGGTCTTCAACGCGTGGAAAGCGCGTCCTCGGATAGCTCGCTTCTCTACGGGATGGGATGCGACACGTAAAACGCGGTGACGTTCAGGATCGTACGTGCTTGGCGGCGACGTAACAACAAAGTGAGCAAGGTTGTGAGAACGGGTCTCAATTTCTTCGTTACTTCTCTCAAGCGTTACGAAATGAGCGACATGTCTTCTTGTTAGATACACCTGTGTAATTTTATTATCAAGAATTAATTTATATTTTTCCATATATATATATATATATTTTTTAAAATAAATTAATAAAGAATTTTCTTCGAAAATCATGCAAAAAATATAAATATACAAAAGCAAGAGAGATAAAGAGAATTTGTAAACAGTGTATACTTATTTCTAACGTCGATATGAAATACTGACGCGAAATACTCGTGACATTTCGCGAAAAGGCCAGGTGCGAGCTTCAGCTAGGATCTCCGAGGAATTTGACCTCACGGGGTCAATACGTAACCCGTCGTGCGAGCCCCAAAATTGCTGCGGAGGCCGCGCTTGATCAAGATCCGCCGTTAATCCATCCCGGGGTTAAGGAACACCACCGATCTTCGTTTTGCCTCGTCTCCGCTCAATTAAATTCTACTTCAGGGAGATTATTTCATAAATCACATCCTGCCCCGCGAGAACAACGCACGTGCAGACGTCCTCCTACCAGCTTTCTCACCCACTTGTTCCTTTGCCACATAATAATTTGCCCACTATTATTTGAAGGACGAGGCAAAGGCAAGATCATTAGGGTGCGTTTACTCTTCATAGTTAATTTAATAGTGCGGATACTCATTTCTTGATATAAATTAGATATCTACGAGCTTCAACGAGTTTTTTATAATAGAAAAAAGATCTTATATTTTTATTTTGCGATTATTTCATAAAAAAATTTAAGTAGAACTGCACAAAAGGTAACACATCACCGATTTTATCGCCATTTAAATATGTGTAGAGGAGGTTCTTCTGAGTAATACCCCGCAAGAAAGAAGTGGGGTACGACATTGATTTAGAAGATATAACAAATTGAAGTTTGACATTAAAGTTTTGTGTGTGCTGTAATAATCTGTTATTTTTTAATTGAAAAAGACTGTTTACAACATTTACACGTGAGCGGGGGAGGGGCTTTGCCCCTCCTCCTGCAACCCTACCTCGAAAAAATTCTAACCTAACCCAAACCTATTTTCAGTTTTAAAAGTAAAGTTGGGTTGGGTTAGGTTAGAATTTTTTCGGGATGAGGATGCAGGGGAAGGGGTAGAGCCCCTCCCACGCATTCAATAAATAATATTTTTCAAGACAAGACTCAGAAATTCGTGTAGTCGCATGTTGAAAGCTGTTAACGAACTGCGAGAAATAGGTGAAACCGATTATTGATAAAATATCCATGTCCGTGTACTTATCCCGTATGTAAACAAAATGTAAATAAAAACTTTTTCTATGTCTACTCTACAACGTACAGAAACTTCATTTTTCCTAATGTTGCTTTATAATACCTGAGAAAAAGCAATAAAACTGTGAAACTTCAATTTATTATATCTCCTAAACCAATGCTGTCCCCCACTTCTTTCTTGCGGGGAATTACTCAGAAGAACTTCCTCTACAACATATTTACGTGGCGATAAAATCAATGATGTGTTACCTTTTATGCAGTTTTACCGTAATATCTTTACTTGTTCATATCATCGCATCATCATAGAACTTTAGAATTGGAGCTTAGCTCGTCACGATTGAGAAAAAATGAACGAAGAAACGCAAACTCGCGAAAAGCTAGTCATCAGTACGGCAGAAAAAAAAGAAACTCGTCCGTGTCGGACGAGATTTTCGCGTTATTTAATTCGCGTGGAAATTTCGCGGTGCCAGTTTCGCCCTAACGTCATGACGGCGGCGGCATTACGGTATCCGAGTACGGTATCCTACGTAACAATTTAATAGCACAGTATCTCCCATCCGACACCACCTGGCGGTCAGGTATGCCACATCAAACTCTTTATTAGGCCCGATTGAACGTTACCGCGGCCCCGCTCGCATGAAATCGGCGGCAGAGCGTTCACTTCTCGCCCCATCTTTAAGTGCGTATACACCAAAGTCTTGATTGCACCGATCTTGATTAATTCAGCTCGATGTTTTCGTTTCTTGTAGTATATGATTAGTGATAAATATATTAATCGACAATTTTTGTAAAATGAATTATAATACGTAATTGTAATCAAGTTGAGAAAAAGTTTTTTAAATAAAGAGGTAATTTTTTATAAATATATTTATTTTTGTTAATTAAATTTTTCTAAAATTTTTTCAGAGTTGATATACAGTTACGCATTTTTATTCTACAAAAATTGTTGATTAATATATTTATCACATGCCACTTTATTAATAACAACTTTTTACTCGCGCGACTTTAAAAATCTGTGATAAAACGAAAATGAATATATCGTGCTGTGTAAGTCTCGAGAAAAGTCGGAAATGTCGATACGCCGATAAAGCCTCTTTTCGCCATCGACGATAAGAAGCGATTTAAAAGTACACGGAGCGTCTTTATACAACCCCTATCGAGCTAGCCCCCCCACCTTGCAAAAATAAAAAAACAGATAGCGCACAATTATGAGCTATTTATGAGCTTTCATATCCCGCAAATTAAAAATTTTGAGCTCGTTGCACTGCGCAGGAATTTAATACTTTTGGTGGGGGGGCTGAGTCGATATCGACTCAGCCCCCCCACCAAAAGTATTAAATTCCTGCGCAGTGCAACGAGCTCAAAATTTTTAATTTGCGGGATATGAAAGCTCATAAATAGCTCATAATTGTGCGCTATCTGTTTTTTTATTTTTGCAAGGTGGGGGGGCTAGCTCGATAGGGGTTTTATACACGCACGCTCGCACTCTTGCGTACACGCGCAAGTAGTCCGGCGTCGTCGAACCGAGATATATAATTCAATATAATGTACAGACCAGTGACATTATCTGGTCCGGTGCAGTCAGCTCGGACTCGGGCTTCTCGATTAATCTCGACCCAATCTCAACAAAGCGCGGATTTATGGTCTTCTCGAAGGGCAGAAAGGCCTTAAGTCCCTCACCGAAACCTGTTTTTTGGCGAGCTCGTTTCTTTTCCGCGGTAAATTTCTCTCTTTTTTTCCCCCTTTTCCTTTCTCCTCCTCGCTCCTGAGATTCTGTTATACTTTTTTATTTTTTTTTTTGGCCGATCCTCGGATCCCGGAGACCGGAACTCATGCCACCGCATGTCTGCGAATCAGCCGGCGGGATCTTCCATCTTTTGATCTTCCAGCGCGTTTTGATTCCCGTATTTCTACCTTTGGTAGCTTCCGAGAAGCCATCTCATTATTACGTCGTGCCATTACCCTTCGTGATATCAGAAAGCTTCTCGAAACACACGCAAGATATTCCGACTACCTTTCTTCTTACACTCTAAAAAATTTTCTAAAAATTCAGACACATTTTTATCTGAATTTTCAGATCCAGAATCTAATGATTAAGACAGATTGTCAGAAGAGTATGTCTACAAAAAAAGTCGCAGACACTCTGTCCGAAGTTTCTGTCAATTTTTTTTTACGGTATATATCTTTACTTTCGAAAAAATTCTCCAGAGATAGAAACAATTTTATCTGTAAGACGCTCAACTTTCTCTCCGATACAATACTTCCTCAATCTTGCCGCGTCTTTCCTCGTACACCTTCGCGATTACACGTCGGAGCAAAACGGAGGCAATTTTTGACGTGGCGAAACGCCGAATTAGGGACAAATCAATAATGGGCCGTGGGATCGAACCGATGAATCCTCGTTGCACCGCGTCTCCTCGCATATACCGGCGACCGTGTTCAATTGGTAATTGCGACGAGGAGACCAACGATACCTTCGACACGTCCTCCTACGTCGAGATGCGTCTCTTTCTTTCTCCGAATGCGACGATGTTTTTCGAGAAGCTCGGCGTTCTTACTCCTTTGTTGCGGACCCGCAACCCCCCTCCCCCATCCCCCCCTCGTTTTACATATGCAGATCCCCGATTGCTCGTAGAATCGATTATCCGCGCCTTCAATCGTGACCGTGCACGTTCACGCGATGCACGCGCGCAACCCGGACAAATAAGAGATTTCTCGGTCGAGCTGCGATCATTAAGATGCATCAACGGCGGTTGTTCTGTACTCAACGAGAGTGGTTAATAAGGCCCTGTATTTTCTTAAGCGAAATTTCAAGCTTTATTCGAGAATGGAATCTCGATTCAAGTCTTACTTATCGAGAGACGCTTCGTATTAAAAATACTCGAAAAAAAATGCTCGATTCGTCGAGTGAATGTCGCGTTAATACCTACAAGTCGAATAATGTTCTCCGAGGAACACTGACGTATGGAGATAATTAGAAAGTCCGGTTCCTCGAGTATCTCGAGAGGGCAGCATTCCACTGATAATCACATAGCAGTATCTTTAATATCCAACGGTCAATTTAAAAAAAAAAAAAAAAAATGTCCCCGAATTCCGATCGAAATGCTTACTTCGCTGTCAACTCAATCGCTTTCAAAGCGCGATAAAGATGTGAACGTCGACTAAGTTAAGAGTGTCGTTCTCGACTTACTTGTAAGATCCATGAATATTCTTGCAGGTACCGTGTCTGCACGGGTCCCTGTCACACTCGTCGATGTCGTCCGTGCAATTCGGTCCCGTGAAGCCAGGTGCGCATGTGCACTTGTAGCCGTTCTCAAGTGAGCGACACTCGGCCCCGTTTCGACAGGGCGACGAGGCACAGTAATCCTGTCGTTCGCAGTGCTCGCCTGAAAAAAGAAAAAGGGACAACGTTGTTCAACCTCTTGTACCGACACGCATTATTATGCGCGACCGAAAAAACCGCATGCACAACAAATTAATATATTGAGAACTTGTATTGCGATACAGTTTGAAGATACAAACTCCTCTCTTCGAATGACTTAATCTTCATTTCGTTTTAAACAAATTTTATTTTAATAAGATTTGAAGTGTTTTATAGATATATGAAAATATTAATTAAGGAAAGGCTAAAAAAATTTAGAAAAATGTTTTTTATATTATTATTAAAAATATATGACTCTAAGGTAATTAAAATATCTAAAATATTAAAATGTCGAAAGAATATTTTAAATTTTCTATTTCAATTCTTTCACACAATTAATCTTCACGTTGCTATTATATTGTAAACTTGAAAAAAACCGACTGTTGAGAATTTATATAAAATAACAATAATGTCAATCACAATTTGACTATAATAGCAAATAAAAAAATAAATAGACATTTGACAAGTTAAATTTTAATAGATATTTAATAAGTATCTAGAATAAAATCAGAAAATAAAATTTTTAATTGTAATTTTAGATACTTTTTAATTTTAGATATTTTTTTCACTTTTTAGACACTTTTAAATTTAATTCGGTGCTTTATAAATATCGTGTCATAGGATAATGGAACTAGATGTAGATCAGGCACTAAATTAGTGTATATAATTTATTTTTTGAAATAACCATCACCAAATTCTTGACCTTTATTTAATCTTTAGTAATTGCAATTTATTCTTTCCTTCTTTGGTAAAACGTACGCTTATATTGACAAGTAATCAAATGTAGGATTTGAGAAAACATAGGCGCGCAAGAAGTTAAAATAAAAATTTATAGATGAAGATTCCAGCGAAGATAAGAATAAATTAACTCGGCATTTCTTGCCGGCTAGCAAGTAGAGACGTCCCTTAAAATGGCGATAATGTCGGACGCATGTATCTAAGAAGTGAGCGTCCCTCTTTCTCCCTCGCTCTCGCGAGCCACTGATTAGCGGAACTAATTACCAGAGTCGCTACTTGTTCCCTACGTGGTCGAGATGTCTTTGCTTCTGCGATCTGCCCGCTACGACTCACGAGCGGTGCTCATTGCTCGTATATAATACGTATTTTGAGTACATTTTAAAGAGAGAGAGAGAGAGAGAGAGATATCAATAATTTTAATTCTTGATCCGTTTGTTAAACAAGTGTCAAATTTTATACAAAGTCAAAATCATAAAAAGGCAAATTCTATGCACATTTATAAACAATATACATTCGTATTTCAAGTTTTCTTCGCAAACAGAATCTCTAGAAAATTCACATTTTTAATTTGATCCTGTATCAACCTAATAAAAATAATTAAATAAAAAATAATTAATATTGATGCATAAAATCAACTTATTACTACTTATTATTTCAATCTCAATAAATTGCCTCTTCCTTTAACTTTTAAAATTTATATTTTTCTTATGCAAATGTTTTTCCATAAAATATAATACATTTAAAAAACGGATATGCTTCGATAAAATAAATTTTCATTTACAGATTTATTAGCAATTTCCTCAATTTTGTCCTTGTTAATTTTAAAAATAATATATAGTTAATTATTTATAAATATCACGTTGAATTTGATCTCAGCAAGAATGCTGTAAAAATTTAGAAATTTCTTCGGAGTCACTAATTTCAGTGGTTCATGAATGCTTTATGGATTACAAAGAATTCACTGAACGTGCAGGAAACTGAGCACCGCTCGTCCAAAGATACCGCCGCAGAGAAATACCGCATTCTCCGCCAATTATCCTACGGGTACACACTTGCCTTTCCTTCCTCCTCCTTTCTCTCTCTCTCCTTTTCTTTTGAAAGTCCTCGTGTTTCTAGATTTATTTGTCGAGCACGTGCTTTGGTACTCAAGCGCGAGAAACGGTCGTAAAAGATGTAATCGTAGAGAGCTTAGCGTAGATCGACTTCCGCGATTTTATATTGAAATAAATAATCGATTATCTGTGTCATAAAAAAATAACGCGAATATTCGACGCATAATATCTGTTCATAAGCGCGAGCATGCAAATTTACAGTTACAGCTCGGTCTCGCCATTTCTTTACGAGGTGCAACACAATGCGAATTGAGGAGGGAGGTAAATTGCAACACGTTTTATCGTCCCGTCTATCTATTAACCTTGCTATTCAACCCACGCCAATCGATAAGCATATTTAAGTATTCGATGATTAATGCGCAACCTATTCATTGTCAAGCTTACGCAATTGTGCCCCCTTAAGGATCCGCATAGTTTTCCATTCACACCTTTGACAATCATTATTAACAGTTGATTCTGATTGTCTTATCGATCCAATCACTTGTAATACACACGCAAGTATTAATTCTCCAAGTAATTTAGTTATTCTCTAGTATTCTAGTGACAAAAATAACTCAACAGAAATTTTATTATATTCTAAAAAAATGGAAGAATTATTTCTCTTTTATTTATAACAAAAATTATATTTACTGACCTGTATATCCGGTGCTGCACGTGCACACATACTCGTGCAACGACTTGAGATTGCACGTGGCACCGTTGAGGCAGGGCGAGGAGTCGCAGGCATTTTCGATAGGAATTTCGCACAGGCTGGCGGTAAAGCCCACGGGACAGGAACACGCGAAGGATGGTGTACCACCCCCGATGCTCTCGCGCACCCTGCACGAACCGCCGTTCTGGCAACGCGATCCCGTGTAGCACGGATTCAAGTGTTGACAGTATTCCCCCACGTATTTCGATGTGCAACTGAAACAAAATTTACGATCGTGTGAATTCAAAGATCCATTAAATAAGGCAACTGCACGATTTTATATATAATTTTTTTTATATACATTATATATTAGATTTTATATATACATATATTATAATATATAATTTAACTTATTAATTTTACTGCTCTTCAGAAATTCAGAAATTTTATATCAACTTTCAAAATTTACATATTTTTTTTATATGAAAATGTTTTTCCGATTTTTAAATGTTTTTATTACATTTAAAGATCGGATATGCTTTAATAAAATAAATTTTCATTAATTTACAGATTTATTGCAATTTAGTCCTTATTAATTTTAAAAATAATATATAGTTAGCTATTTATAAATATATTTAAATATGATCTCAGCAGAAAAACTGTAAACAATTTGAAATTTCTTCAGAATCATAATTTTTAGCAGCTCGAGAATGTTTCCGAGAAATTAAAAATTCAAGCTCCTCAAGTTCCTTAATATTATTACATTTGCTCTTGTATTCCGTACAAATAAACAGAATAAAGAGGAAGATGAAGGGAGGCAGCACCTCGATCGACTCAGGTGGGCGGTTCCGAGGGGTACCATAATGCGTTCTCGCGAAAAGTACGATCTCTCGTATTGCGGTCGAGACTTCCACGAACGGCCCAGAAAGATGAAAAGCCTGAACAGGCTCCGTTACACGTATCATTAGATTCACCGTAAATACTTGAGAGTGCGCGCGCTGCATCTCCAAGAATCCCTGCGAAATTCATCGCGTGAAACGGCATGAGAAAAGGGCGAGCATTTGTCCTTCCAGAACACGGGAACAAAGTTCTTTCGTGACCTCACCACGAGGAGAGATATCCATTTATAATAGCTTCTCGAATATCTCGGTTCTCTGTCTACCTCAAGATCGAGACTTTTATTCTTGCCTTCTGTAAATTTAGCGAATTATTCGTATCTATTTTCATTATTAATAATAATATGCAAAACATGTGAAACCATTTATAAAATAAATTAGGATTTTGTTGTTAATTAAAATAATTTATTTTATTTTAATGATAATTAATTCATACATTTTATTTTAATTTATGTTAATATCCTACAAAATAATATTTTGTTTTATTTAAAAAACTGAACTTATAATAATTAATTTCTCTAAAAAAAAAATATAATTTTATTGGTGTTTCAAAAATTCCTTTAATATTATTTGTTAGATTTATAATATAATATCCGATCTTACACTCGATCACTCTATCAACGCCTATTAAAAAGCCTCATAGAATCGCTACAAAGTGACAGAGGAGATGCATGAATATCGTTCCAACGACGAGATCGATGACCGCGCTTTCTCAATAAGGAAATTATATTCCCTTCGTTCTGTCCCGGCTTTCGAAACGAAAAAAAGACGATGTTCTAACGGGCCCTAATGATCGCTGGACGAGGGGCACTTCATATATTGCAAGTTGCGATCGATCATGGCTTTTACATGGAAGTCCCATCGATACGCGAAGAAGCCTGGAGGGGAACTAGTACCCTTAAGGTAACTTGTTGTCTCCCCCTATGTGCTTTTTTTATGGCCGACCATAAAAATTTTTCTCAACTGCGCGTCCTTTACGTCGATCTCACCGTAGTGTCCCTCGTTACCTTGAAAGGATCTTCGTTATCTCTTCTTATGGCACGAGACAAATTGCAACGCGATTATGAAACGAGTTCACTCTCGAGTTGCTCTCGAGTTCAACGCGTGCCATATTTACGCACTTAACGCACAATGGCAATGATTCGTTTACTTCGGAAATATTATTGTAAACTATTGTTACTTTGTAAAATAATAGAATTTAGTTGGGAAAATTAATTTATAGAATCAAGCTTTCGCAAATAAATATCTTAAATCGAATTAAAAATTTAGGGTATTTCAATCTAAAATTCGTTTTGTATAAAAATATTTTATTTGTTAAACTTTCAAGATTTAAAGTCTTAAAATCTTAAAAATATTAAATTAAAATAATTAATAATAGGATATTTTACATAAATCTAACAAATAATATTATAAAGGAATTTTTAAAACATAAACAAAATTTTTAATTTTTTTAAAGAAATTAATTATTATAAATTTAGATTGAAGTAAAACAAAATATTATTTTAAAATAAAAATAAACTATTTTAATTAACAACAGTTTTAATTTATTTTATAAATAGTATTATTATAAAAAGACACTGACAGATATTCAAATATTTTACTTAAAGCCCGTTCACGTATACATATATGTATTTTATCAATAGAACTAAGATTAGCGACTGGCAGTATTCCTGGCACTAGCTGGCACTAACATATAGAAAAGTATCGAGCGCATTGTCCCCGCAGCTGAAGCTGCTTCGCTTCTGGTCCTCGACTTCTCTCACCGTTTTCCATGCACGCGCGATCGCTTAGAGAGCCGGCATCTCTATAAACGGAAGCGACGATTCCACGGCCATTACTTACTCGGCAGTGAATTTCTTCTCGGCTACCGGTCAGGGCCGCACCGTTTGGATTTATTTATTTCCACCCGCGATTATACCCGCCCTCGAACTACGCGGAGATGATAACGCGCGACTACCGATAATGCAAACAAACTAATGTCAGGGATAATAAATCGACGCGTCTTTTCATGCATGATACACTGAATACCCTCTTTTGAAACGTAGGATTATTTCTTAAGAACGTGGGATCGCGGAAACTTTGTAACACCATAATATACGGAATAATAACGGAAAACCCTGAGATACTGCGTTTAATAAAATAATATGCAAAACATCTGAAACTATAAAATAAAATAACCTAAGATTTGTTAAGTAAAACATTTTATTTTCGTTTTAATAATTAACTCATTCATTTTAATTTCAATTTATGTTAATATAACAATCAAAACAATATTCTTTTTTATTAAATCTAAACTTATAATTAGTTTCTTCAAAAAAAAAAAATATAATTTTATCTATGTTTCAAAAATTCCTTTAATATTATTTGTTAAATTTATATAATCTCCTTATTATTGTTTTAATATTTTTAAAATTTTAAGACTAAATCTTCAAAATTTAACAAATAAAATAGTTTCTTTTTTATAAATCTTATTTCCTAATATTATAACTAATTTATTTTTAAAGATTTCTTCAAATTTGCAATTTTTAAATATTTTTTAATAAGTTATAAAAAAGAAATATAATAACTTGTCGTACAAACTATTATACCTTTTGCATATTTTTTCCTATATAAATCATATTTCTTAATATTTTAATTAATTTACTTTTAAAGATTTCTTCAAATTTATAATTTTTTAAATATTTTTTAATAAACTTTTAATAAATTTTTTAAATATTTTTTAATAAATTATAGAATAAACTACAAAAAAATGTACTAGTTTGTCGTACAAACTTGCTACATGGTATGTTCATTACGAATCAATATCTTCTTGAAAAGCGCATAAGAACATATCGTTAACGCGGTGTCTCGCTACCGGTATCTAACGCGATAAGCCGATCAGAGACATCGCGCAAACGAGATTGTAATTATCGACACAAATGTTACAACATACGTACATCCTGCTTCTTAAGATAATCTTGCAAATACACAGATAGATATTCTTCCTGCAGGAGCATAGATAAGTGTAAGTGAACGAGCGTGTGATCAAGAATAGATTCATCGGACGATACCTTCTCCCTTATCACTAAGCTATGCGGGTTCTGCTAGATTCGTGTTATGCAGATTATCAATTCTACGTTGCTCCTGATACGCAGTGATATGATGATCGCATGATTCGGGAGGGGGGCAGGGAGCGTTTTATTAATCCAATAATTTAAAGATCCATCTATCCTGTTTCGCGACTGCGTGAAACCGGTTAGTGTAAAAGTCTTACAACTTTTATAGTCTTTCGTACGTTTATAAATGCACATGAGAACGACTGGCTACACGCTGCTTACTAATTACGACGGTCATCAATTACGTAATTATTTAAGCGCCAGCGCGGTCAACACTTCGAGAGAACGCGATTTGATAATACGCGAGAGGAAACATTGCGCGTTGCACGCATGCGCGATGATACATGACGGATGGTCTAAAAAAACTTATATAAAAAATTAAAATAAAATATATATTACATCATATCATAAAAATAAAAATGATAATAATAAAAATGATTCTTTAAAAAGGGTAAAAAATATATTTATATTTGTTTGTTTATTTTTTTTTCATACGTGGCATATTTATAATATAATATTATAATATATATTTGCTTATTAATAATCGTGACTGGTATAATATTAGGATAATAAAAAGAGTCTGATATTTGTGTGTGTGTGTGTATTGTGAACTTGGTAATATGTGAGAATATAGCTATTAATTATCACATTAATTATAACGTGTTTTATTGAGCACTCCATTTTTTTTTTGGACTCTGACTAGACAACTCTAACAATGCTAAGTAATAACTCAAACAAGCCTATAGAATCTCTCGAATATGCCTCATATTCCATCGGCAAACATAATATAAAATTGGGATGCATTCTAATTGAACGAGAAAACATAGAGCTCGGTTAACAATGGTAGAGAAAAATGAAATTATTAAAAGGGATAATTTTTACTCTAATTTTATGCGTAAAATTTTATTTCATCAGTAATAAAAATTCTGTTGGCGAAAATTTCGACGTGTCTAACGCAAACGGAAGCAAGAGTATCTTACATCAATTTTAGCCTCGTTTCGCATAATAAAGATTATTGAAATGATCGTACATTGTGTGATCGAGAACGTGGGAGTGCAAAGTTCTACTGGTTCCATGCCAATTTCCGTGGTCTCTTCCTAGTCCGCGAGCAAAGTTCTTAATTCGTTCACACGATAAATTAACAGACGCTGTACCCGAGTCTCTCCCTAGATTATATATACCAAAAATATAATTTCTCATTTTTAATAAAACGTTTTTTAATATTATTATTCAAAATTATTTGTTAAATTTATACACATAATGTCCTTATATTAATTATTTGAATTTAATATTTTTGAGATTTTAAGACTAAACCTTCAAAGTTTGAAACGAAAAA